GGAAAGCAAGAGGGCTCGGTCGTTCGAAGCATCAACGTGCAAATCCATACGAAGATCTGGAGTATGTTGCAGGTGTCGGTTCGCATCCTCCCACTCCACCACGCCAGCTCGATCCTTCAAATCTATTTTGCAATGTCTTTCATCGTCGCTCGAATCGTCCATGGCGTAAAAATCGGGACCGTCGCGATTATCAACTCTGTCGTTCAAGGTGTCATCAAGCTTGTCACCGTCAATTTCACCTACCTCCCTCGAGCTACAAGCCCCGTAAGCACGGTTAGACACGATGGTCCAGTAACAATATCACGACAGGACAAAAAAAAAAGAGATACCGCCGCCCTTGCTAGACGACACAATTGTTGGCAGGGCTCCCACGAACGGAAGCAAGACAGCAAAGAGCGCCATGGTCAGCTGACTCCAACCGTCTTGCGGCCTATCTCGAGCCCCAGTCCTTTCAACAGGCGTTGCCTGATGATTAGGATTTGGAGAGATTTTATGGCTCTCGACTCGCAGGACGCTTGCTTTGAGCGTGCCGTCCAGGAGGTACGGAACGGTCGTGGATCGATAGATGCACGACGCCGGTATTGATGGAAAATGGGGAAAAGAACCGAAATGTGTGGTTGGTGATGATGATGCCGCCGCTCTTGCGCGACCACGCAGGTGTCGGTAGGTATCGCACAAACGGAGACAGGGCAAAGAGCGCCGTGGCCAGCTATCTCTCTATCCCCACGGCCTACCAAGGAGTCAATAATGATGGCTCTTGGCTTGTGCGATGCGTACGTCGAATGCGGCGTCGGGGAGAGACGGAACGGTAATTCACGCAGGCACGAGGGCCTAGGCGAAGTCACACCGGTACCATCAAGTCACTGACCCTAAGGTAGAGAATGGCTGAGTGGATTCATCGCAGATGTCATCCATCGCGCCGATGGCGACTCGACTCGAGGTCGGAGGCTGAATGTCGATGAAAAAACGGTTGGATTTTGATGGAGTTGGTGGATGGATGGAAATGAATGGGGAGAGACGTGGAGCCTCTTTTCGACTTTGGTCACGGGGGAGCCTAAGGCTTTTGAAGCCGCACGGGCCACAGAAAAGCTGACACATCATGCCAAGCATAAAACCGGCCATAACATGCCAAGCATTAGATGCAACAAGCAGACAAACACATACATCATGTGCATAAGTTTAAGCACAACACGCGAGCATAAAGGGCAAGCATAAGACAACGTTGCTTTGATATGAAACAGAGTTATACGAAGACACAACACAATTCAAATT